AATGAAAGATATTTGTAAATTGCAGTACTACTTAATTATAATCCATGCTTTTTCACGTACTTAAACCGCGTGTGTAGTCGGCTGGTTTGACGCCCTTGGTTTTCATGCGATGCAACAATTGCGCCGATGTCAACTTCTTTACTAAGTATACCGCAATACAGTAGCCACGCGTATAATCCGGACACCATTGTACAGTGATTGTATTGGTTACTGTAGGCGAAAGCTTTACGTTAGCTGTTACATTAACGGGACGCGGTGGTCGTTTTGGTTCAACATTCGGTCTGTTTGTTGGAATGACATTCTGTGAAGAAATAAAGATTTTTTTATTGTTGTGGTTAGAAACTGTAGATTTATTTGACAACTGAAAAGAAGTTCATCTTCACCTAACATAGTTGTGGAAATTATTGTTAATAAAATAAAATTTAGTGAGATGAAATGAAATGCTCGCAATTTTCGCATTCTAAGCGGCTTGAGCGATTTTGATAAAATTTTGTTTTGATTACCAGGCATCATGGCTTCGGGCTCAACTTAAATATTTGAGAATTTGGATTATTCAGTGGTGGACAAATAAAAGGTACGCGATTTTTTTTTTTTAATTTTTGCTTTGTTTTTCTTTCGTTTATTTAATATTTATTATTTTTTTAATAAAATTATAGCTCATTATCTAACAAGAACCATATAAATTCATATTTCAAACTTTGTGCAAAAATTATAAAAATTCTCCAAAATTGCATCTAAATTTTCAACTTTTATATCAGATTTTTTAGAATAGGTTTGAGTATGTAGTTTTATAGCAAATTAAAAGAATGAAGTGTAAGTTTTAAGTTGCTAAAAAATCTCGTTGATTTTTGGCAATTTTTTTGATACATTTTTCTTCCGTACAAAGTATGTTCAACAATTTGTTTGTATAGGAAAAAGTGTGTAATACATTCAGAATAAAACTTATTAAAAATCAAAGCGATTTTTCAGGAACTTCAAACTTGCACTTAAGTCTACTAAAACTTAATGGGCTAATGGGCTGTATACTCAAAAAGAATAGCAGAGAAATACTGAAAACTAAAAACGATTGCTAATCTTTGTCCAGTCACGGCGAAATTCCAAGACAATTTAAATACGATAAAAGGAGTAATCTATGCGCCTTGGCTAAACTTTGTAAATTAGGAAGAAATTATGCAGCAAATAAAAAAAAAATAGCAGAAATTATGCAGAAAAAAAAAAAAAATTAGCAGAAATTAGCAGAACTAAAAAGACAAGGTGTAAGGAGTATATGGGGCGTTCCATACCAAAACGGACGGGGTTCACACTTCATGTGTTTGATTGGTTTCAAATTTTTTAGGGTTGCATAAACATAAATAATAAATAACTATTAAATTTGAGCTTGATTAATACATTTTTAAAAACTTTACAGCACAAAAAAAAACAAGTCGATTTAATAGTTTTCCAAATATCTCGAGAACCGAGCGAGGAAAAAATCAAAAAAAAATCACACATACACACATCAAAATTCTCTATGAAAAGTAATATTTTAAAAACATGTTTTTTCTTAAAGAATTTTTAACATAAATTTTTTAGTAAAAAAAATTAGTTTTTGAAAATATGCCATCTCAAAAAAATCACAATGGTAGCTCTGAGTATTGCGCAATATTTAAGTGTATTATTATGGGGTGCACTCTACAATGATACGAGTTATGAATTTTTTTTACACCGAAGTTGAGTAAAATGAGTACATATAACAAATTTAAAAATTATTGCAAAATTGCGTTGATTTTTGATATTTTTTATCCTAACGGCTTTTTGGACTTTATTCTTATGGAAGAAAATGAGCAAAACCGTTTTCAAAGAAAATCAAAACTAACGACGGTTTTGCAATCGGATAAAACTTGCACTTTAGTATACTAAAATTTAATGAGCTACACAACTGCATACTCAAAAAAATTCTAAAAAATTTAAAAAAGAGATTTTTTAGAATTGTTTAAGTATGCCCATGCAATTCAAAGTGCAAGTTTGAAGTAGCTAGGACTTAACGTTGATTTTTGGCAAAGTAAGTTCCACAATTTTTTTGCATGGAGGTAAAGAGCAAGACCTTACACAAAAAAAAATTTACCAAAAATAAGCGGTACTTAAAATTTGCACTTTGAATTGAATGGGCTAAAAAACTGCACACTCGGAATGTTTCAAAGAAATCTAATTAAAAAGCCCAACATTTTGATGAAACGTTCTCGAACTTCGCTAATTTTTGTACAACGTTTGAAATCTTGAATTGCATGGTCTTTGTTAAATTACAAGCTACACTTTCATAAAAAATAATAAACATTAAATAAACGAAAGGGTAATACCCAAAGAATGCTAAATTGTCTTTCCCTATTTATATTTTTGCCACTGTATCTACAGCTTATATTTTTCATATCCATGAATTTTTTGAGGGAATTAGTATTATTTTTAATAATTTCATTAAATTCAAATTAGAAACACTTCATGAAAAAAAACAAAACTTAACAAATAATTATAAAAACCTTAAAATAGTTCAGCCAAGAGCGATACGACTGCAATAAAGGGAGAGTACCAGTTTGACAGAATAAAACATAACCAAAGATCAGAGAAAGCAAGGATGCTGGTTATGTTTATGGCACCCTTATAATCAATGTTCTTTGTGATAATATATGTGTTGCCACGTTTGTAAGAAAAATTGGTTTTGGGTCAGAGTACATGGAGACTTTTATTAAATTAATAAGGAAAACACTGAAAATTGGGACATAATCGATAAAAATATGAAAAATCGGGACACTTGTACGTCCCGACTTTTAAAAAATATTCAGCGGGGGAGTTTTCTCAAAATCGGTACTGTCCCGCCAAAATCGGTCCGAATGATCACCGTAAGTATATTATATTATATATAATAAATAAAAATAAATCAATAATATATGTAGTTACATACATACATATTAACGAGCATGAATTTTGAAATAATGCAATGGAGCATAAAAGATTTCTTTAATAATAATTGACACTATTGATAAAAGAACATACTCCAGCGTCCATTTCACTGCAAGATACACATTGCCTACACAACTTTAACCCATTTCCACCAAATGGTTACTTAAGTTGTTTCCGAAACTCACAGGTACAATACGACAGCCAAACAAACCCTAACGGCCTTGTCCCTGTGGACCAACCCCACAGAAGCTGCACGCTTCCTAGGGTTGCCGTTAGTGGAACTTGACACCAACGACTGAGATACCAACCGTCCTTGGCGGGGTTGTTGTAGCCGCTACGACAACAACAACAACAGCCAAACAAGTTATAGGGGTGCTCATTAAAAGCAATATTCGTCATAAAATCATTCCCACAAACACAGACGTACAAATAATTGCTATAGAAATTAGCATAGATATAAAATTTACGATAATTCCGTGCTATTTTCCACCACTCCAACAAATTCCCTCCAAGGAAGACATAGATTTAATCGCCACAATTCAAATTCCAATCATTGTTTTATGAGATGTTAACAGCTGGAATCCTTTTTAGGGTTCACCAACTTGCAACAATCGCGGTAAAGAGACCTACTCATCTCTCAACCCACGGAACGCTCACACATGTGTATATCACATGCTGCCCCCAAAGTATGCTTTCGATGTTAATTTTCGATGGAAATTTAGCGTGGCAATTGTCAGAATTCCTGCTGACGGCCTGCCAGCCGAGCTATTCAAGTACGGCGGCGAGGAGCTGATTAGGTGCATGCATCAGCTCGTATGCAGAATATGGTCAGATGAACGCATGCCCGACGACTGGAATTTAAGTGTGCTCTGCCCAATCCACAAGAAAGGCCACGCCATACGCGCCAACTACCGCGGAATTAGCCTTCTAAGCATAGGTTATAAGGTCTTATCGAGCGTATTGTGCGAAAGACTGAAGCCCACCGTCAACGAGCTGATTGGACCTTATCAGTGTGGCTTTAGGCCTGGAAAATCCACCATAGATCAGGTATTCACAATACGCCAAATCTTGGAAAAGACCCGCGAGAATAGGATCGACACACACCATCTATTTGTCGATTTCAAAGCCGCTTTCGACAGCACGAAGAGAAGTTGCCTTTATGCCGCGATGTCTGAATTTGGTATCCCCGCGAAACTAATACGGCTGTGTAAAATGACGTTGAGCAATACCACCAGCTCCGTCAGAATAGGGAAGGACCTCTCCGAGCCGTTTGATACCAAACGAGGTTTCAGACAAGGGGACTCCCTTTCGTGTGATTTTTTTAATCTTATGTTGGAGAAGATAATGAGAGCCGCAGAACTGAACCGCTCAGGCACAATACTTTATAAGAGCGTACAATTGCTGGCGTATGCCGACGACATCGATATTATCGGTAAAAACAAGGGCTACGTCTGTTCTGCCTTCTCGGGATTGGATAGAGAAGCAAAGCGAATGGGTCTGGTGGTGAACGAGGACAAAACGAAGTATCTCCTGTCATCACACAAACAGTCAGAGCATACGCGTCTTGGCACCCACGTCACTGTTGACAGTTACAAGTTTGAAAAAGTAGACGACTTCGTTTATTTGGGAACCAGCATTAACACCAATAATAATGTCAGCCTTGAAGTCCAACGGAGAATCACTCTTGCCAACAAGTGCTACTTTGGGCTGAGTAGGCAATTGAGAAGTAAAGTCCTCTCTCGTCGTACAAAGATCACACTCTATAAGTCACTCATCATGCCTGTGCTGGTGTATGGCGCGGAAGCATGGACAATGAAAGCATGAGGCGGCTCTTGGAGTTTTCGAGAGAAAGATTCTGCGAAAGATTTACGGACCTTTACGCGTTGGTGATGGCGAATATCGCAGACGATTTAACGATGAGCTGTATGAGCTTTACAACGATATAGACATAGTGCAGCGAATTAAAATTCAGCGGCTCCGCTGGCTTGGCCATGTCGTTCGGATGGACAGAAACGCTCCTGCTCTGAAAATATTCAACGCGGGCCGCGATGCTGGTAACAGAGGAAGAGGAAGGCCTCCTCTGCGTTGGAAAGACCAGGTGGAGAAGGACTTGGCTTCACTTGGCATTTTCAATTGGCGTCAGTTAGCACAGAAGAGAAATGACTGGCGTGCTGTTTTGGACTCGGCCAAAATCGCTTAGGCGGTTACAGCGCCAATTAAGAAGAAGAAGAAGAAT